TTTGCATTTCCTCCATACAAGGGAAGTGAGGCCAGTTTACGTAAGGAAACGGATCAGATGTTTTATACCCAACCAGGGAAACACGGGGACAGGCAGCTGCTTCACAAGCATTTCACACACAGAAGCACAGAGAGGCGCCTGAATACAAGTTTCTCTGTAGAAAAGTTCAAAGGAAAAGGATCTGGCAGGAAGGACATCAGGTTAGTGGGATGAAGGAAATTCCAGCGTTAGGCAGACTAAGGGCCCCTCAAAACCGTCCACATCTTTTCCCGCAACCTGTGACCCCATCGCCTGACATGGCAAGAGGGCTAGCCTACAGCACCCCCAGTGCAGCTGCTGTGCCAGATGTTGGTGCTTTTGGTAGAGCGGAGTAACATGCTCTCCGGTGCATCATAGGTGGATATGGATCTGAAAAAATGTGTCCTTTCCAAACCTATCAGAGAAGAAATTTAGAAACAGTTGGTAGTTACCTGGAGGGGACAACAATCTCGCCCCAAGGCTATGTTAACACTCCGCTCTCTGTCTCGGTTTGGTCTGGAGAGATCTCGCCATCTGGACGTCCTGCAGAACACACTTGCCCCCATGCTGGCTGCCCGTGCAGTACAATTATTAAGGGTCTAGTGCAGCCGTGGGCAAACTACGGCCCGCGGGATCTGGCCCGTTTGAAATGAATAAAACTATTGAAAAAAAAGACCGTACCCTTTTATGTAATGATGTTTGCCCACCCCTGGTCTAGTGCCTTAGGGCAGAGGTCAGAAAGCGATGGCCTATGGGTCAAACCCGGCCCACTACCTATTCTGTACATTGTTTAGTTGGAATGCAGCTACACGCATTTTTTAAATACATTGTCCATGGACACTCTCATGTGACAAGGACAGAGCTGAGTCATCGCGGCAGAAACTGTACCCCCCAAGCCTGAAATGTTTACTCTCTGGCATTTTACTGAAAGTCATCTGGGCATGCTGGGACATCTCCCAAGTAAATAACAAAACAGACAAGCGGTCCACCTCGGACCACACAGCCCTGCCGAGCCCTGCTCTTAGTGGGGTCACTGGTGGAAAAAAGATGCTGTGGACCTCACTGGCAGTCACTCGTGGGAACGTCACACTGTGGACACTGAAGGTTTGGGAACCATGCCATGTCAATCTACAAAATCTCCTGGGATGCCACTGAGCCCTGCTAGAGAGGAAGTCCTCACACTGAGACACTGAGCTGAGTTCTATTAGACCCGCCAAGTCAGGAAGTTAGCTGCGCCCAGCAGAAAGCCATTGTAAATTGGAAATGGTGCATCTGGGACAAGCAGCAGCAGGCACGAAGAAGCTGCACAAGCCACTATCCCGGCCCCCTGCCATCCTCTACGCCTCCCAGCACATTTCCGCAGCCCACACTTAGGGAGCATGGATGGTCCTTTTCTACTAGTGGCTGAAGAAAGGAAGAGTAAGGGCTTGGTGCATGAACGGGTTAATTTCGAGCGTGGTGTGCGAGCTGGGCAGGGACGGCCCCACTGCAGTCCCAATCGGGGCAGCACCGAAGGAGAGGGGTGAGGAAAAGCCGTCCCCGCAAAGAGCACAACTTTTGGATGGTGCCCCTGGTCATCACTTTGTGTGAGAGAAATGCCCAAGGTTCTATGGTCTTACAGGCAGGAATCTGGCCAGCTGGCCAGGATCTAGAAGGAGATTTGGAAAATTGGAGACTAGGAAGTCCGAGGTAAAAGCATGTGGTGTGGGCACAAAATGTAAAGATCTTTGCCCACCAGGAAGCATATGCTACCACAGAATCACCACGAAACCACGAGCAGACAGAATGACTTGGCCAGGTGGTACCACCCAACCTCAACCACTGGGCCCTGAACTGCTAGCGCAATGGATGTATGAACAGAGCGGCCGCAGAGGCAGGACTGGGAGCAGCAGGAACTACCCCACATCAAGGCTGCTGTAGACGCTACCACTCCGGAGTGTTCAAATGGTCCCCAACAGTGTCCCTTCTCCAAAATGCTCCCCCTCTACCGGGACACCAGTTCTGTGGCAAGTTTAACCCTGAAAGGGACAGAGACTACTTTTGATTAGAATCACTACTAATTTCAGCTATGATGGTGTGGCATGGGAGGACCGGCATATCTCATGGTGCGTGCTCCTCCCACACTCCTTCGCTGATACAGTGTTAGGTGGGAAGCTTTGTTAGGGTAATTGCCCCTGATCTGTAATAATAGAGCTATTTTTAGACTATGGAGACAGGAAGAATATGTTGGGCATGTAGATACTCTTCTGACCAATTTTAATTGTAAATGCAAATGCATAGCAAAGGTCTAGTAGACAAGGGTTCAAACTCTTTGCCGAGCTGTCAGCTGGAGACATGGGAGTCTGTATGGGCTGTTGAGGAGAGAGAGGGCAAGTACCAGTTACAGCCAAGAGACCACCTGCAGGGGCAGAGTCTATGGTTTGTTCCACCCTCTGTCCCTCTCACCAGATTTCCGGGGGAGTGTCTCCCAGAGCCGACAGGAAGCAGTCGATCTGAGCAGCACAGGGCTGGACCCAGGGGTGCTGTGCTGTGCTACCCAGACCCCTGTTCAGGACATGACTTCTTTTCCCCAGATGCTGAGGAGAATTGTCCTCCCTCTTCAGGAACCGCCTCAGCGGAAGAGAGCTGTCTGTCCAAGCTCATGCCCCCTTCACCAGGCCGTCACATCCACCATCTGGTTGATAGAGAGTATAAATGCCCACCCACCTCATGTCAACTCAGGGGCCATACCAACAGGTGGGCTTAACCCTTGGGACGGCACCACAGCCCAACTTCTCCATCTGCCCATCCTGCGTCGCCTTTTCCCCCACAGGTGTCGATCTCTATAGGACTCGCTAATAAACTTCTTTCATGATAATCTGTCTCAGAGTTGGCTTCCCAGGGAACCCAGCCTGTTACAGCATGTAATGAAGAAACATGAAGATAGTTAAAAAGACACAGCTAAAGAGCTCAAGCCCTGGTCGGTGCTCAGTGGTTAGAGCACCAGCCCATGGACCTAAGGGTGGTGGGTTCAATTCCCAGTCAAGGTCACGTACCTTGGTTGCAGGTTTATCCCTGGCCCTGGTATGTGAGGGAGACAACCAATCAATGTCTCTCTCTCTCATATGGATGTTTTTCTCTCTCTCTGTCCTCCCTCCCCATCACTCTCTCTAAATATCAATGGGAAAAAAATATCCTCGGGTGAGGATAAAATAATAACAACAATAACAGTAAAGACCTCAAAATACCGGTGGGGCAATATGGTAATGGAGAGCTATTTTTCTTTGTAAGATTTCTCATACTCTTTGAATTTTAAAGTATATGCGTGTAACTTAATATATATTTAAGTGTAATGTTATAAATAGAGAAAAGGACAGAAAAATGATTGCGTGGGAGAAGCCATTATAATCATGGGTCTGCCTGTTTTCCATCCCACTTTCATTTGCAAGTTTTCAAAGACTTGAAGACGTTGGGACCTACAGATCCACCAAAAGCCCGACTCTCTTACCACCTCCCACGCAAACTGTTTCATGTTCCCGTCCTCCTCGTTTCGTTTTCTTGTAGGCATGCATGTTCTCACTCACACGCATCTCCAACACACAGCTGGCTTCTCAACTTTTTCTTCCCGTTACCACTCTCCAGCTTCCAAACTTTGGAAAAGCAGAAGACAGGCAGGACTTATTGAACACACCTGGGAGAGTTAAACAACCACCTGAACACGTTTTGATATGAAATGTGTCATCTTTCTCCTATCCTAAGCAGCATACTTGATGCCTCATCACTCAGATCTAACTCATCCTACATATTTCATAAAGACTATCTATGCTGCGGGCTGGAGGGGGTTAGTGGGGGGAAAAGGCGGACATCTGGGATACTTTCAACATTAGTGATAAATTTAAAACATGAAGACAAAAAGAGTGCTGCAATTAAAATTCTCTCTCCTAGAGTCAAGGATGATACACACTTAATATTTCTTTTAGAAAAACAACAAATCTATTAATGGCAATGACCTCTCAAATAAAGGTTTGTGCTCATTTTTAAAGGATCGAGAAAAGATCTAGACCTGTAGGTCGTTCTGGACAAAGAGGATATTGAGATCCTCCCAAGGTTCGACCCACTAAATAATTGTCAAAGCTCCAGGTCTTGGAGGCACTAAGGTCAGCAAACTGTGGAGTGAAGAGGGAACTCCAGCCCCAGCTTCACCCCCTACAGGCTGCCACGGTCCCCGGGAACCTCACCGTGTCTCACCTCGGACGCCCCATCTGCAGACAGCTGTCCACACCACCGAATGCCTCAGTGCTCTCCACCTGCCGGGCGGGTGCGTCCCAGGCTTGTTGGAGGTGAAGGACAAGGCCGTCGAATGAAAGACAATTCTACATAATTGACTTCTGTTTGGTTGGTTGTCTGGTTGCTTCTTGTTATTGCCTTTCATTTACCATGTAACGGGTGTACTCAGTGTGCTTCAAGGAGCAACACTTGGGATAAGACAGAAAAGAAAAACGGAGCCGTTTCCTAGAGTGGACAGGGGCTATTTCGGTGGCATTGTTTCTACAAAATTGAGATGCCATTTCCCACGGATGACCCTCATGTCATGTGCCACACTGACTCTATCTTCATATTGCACGTGGGAATTGAATGAGATGTGGAAATGTAGTCCTCTCAAGACGAGAAGGTTAATTAGGTATTGTTTTCATTTGAAATCACAAATAAAATTTTAAAACATTTATATTACAGAAAAGTGCACTATACAGGATGAGGCAAACTAGGTTTACAGTTGCTCTTATGGAAAGTAATACAAAAATTAGTAAATAATAATACAAGAATAAACTGTGTTTTTGTGTACTCAAAACTGTTAACTTACTTTTGCCCCACACTGTGTTTTCTCATATAATCCTGTGCATCTGTGAGTGCTCATTGGCCAAGCTCTCTGCAGAAATAAAAGGACACCCCCCAATTTAAATACATAATAATATCACAACGAACAACTGCTTAACAAGTCATAGTTCTCTGGCAAAACTGAAAGTCTAGTTTAATTTTCTTTACTTGTTACAATCAGTAAACCTTTTCCTATTTTTTTCTTTCATTTCTGAATCCATTTAAAAGAAATAAATACATTATAAATACAGCTTTTATGAATTCATAATAATTACAGGATATATCAATAGCTTTCAAAAAACACACATACCAGTAGAGAAGGCAAACATCTACACATCTTTTTACTGTTTTAAGAAAAAAAAAATCCGGTATAATTTTCTCATTTTAAACTTTTGTACAATGTTTCTTAAAATATATTGTGCATTTAATTGAAAACTGCACTTTATTAAGAAAAAGAGAAGGAACAAAGATCACAGATTGTGAAATGAAACTCATGGCGCGTGATGTATCGGTGCATTTTGATGCCATAATGTTGCAGTTTCGAGCCGTGCAGACCACAGAGCACTATGCGGCTTCACCATCCATAAACCTGTCTACATTGGAGCTCCCAGCCAGGTAAATGCTGCTACTAAGTAACATAAACATCTGTAAAAGATTCAGGCCTGTTCTGATGTCCGTATTCAGCTTTGCATCAAATAAAAACTACTATTTCTACGCTCAAGCCGTCACTAGCCACCACCACAAGTCTTTCAAGTAAAAAATAAAAAATATGCCATTTGTCAACACAGGTCTTTCATGAACTACTATATTAATTCATATCCTTAAGTTAGTCAGGCATTTACAGAAACATCAAAATGGAGATACTAGTAGTGCTATGAGAAAAGACAGGCAGGTTTTGTAAGGAGGGTTAAAAAGAAAAAAAAAGATGCCTAATTGATATATTTCCAAATTATGCTGGTATGGACAAGCTAAGGAATCCAATTTTTCCTTAGTAGGCATCTCTCGAAAGTGTGATTATAAATAGCAAAGTGTCTTTATTATTTAATTCTTTGTGGAATTCAAAGATAGCTACATGCAAATATCTTGTTTACATGGCCTCAAATTATATCAGCTTCATAAGGTTATTGCTAATTCTTTAATCTCTTGGTATGTGTATATCCTCTAATCAGAATGTACTAGTCAGTAGGCGATACTGACTTTTGGTACTTTGTTATAAATGTACCCCAAAGTCTTAAATGAGAAGTGACTAGAGAGACCCACTTAGTATATATCATATAATATGTCATCACCCTTTAAAATGAGCAGACTTTAATTATTCTACCAGTTTTGCAGAAAGGGGGCATGGTTTCTACTTGTATTTCAAAAAGTATGCCCTGGTGGTCAGTGCACAGCAAAATGTATGCCTAAAGGGGTGTATATATTTTAGAACAGGGAATGGAGCTCTACGCATTAAGTGTCTCTTTTTTCCTAATACATACGACCATGCTCCATGGAATATAGTGAAGGGAGATCAAAGAGAAGCTGGTGAAAACTTCAGGAAAAAAAGTATAACACTATAAAGAAAACAGACATAACATTTGGGGAAAATATTCTAGGCAGTATAGTTCCTTTGAGATATTACAGTTGTAAATAAAGATAATATTTGGCAGTGTTAAGGATTGTGTTTTTATATTAACAACTTTAGTTACCAACATTTCGTAATCCTTGGGAAATTGGTCTTACCCAAGGTCTTAACTACTGACACTCCCAAACAAGAATAGCAAATTAAAGGCCAGACATCACACACTGATGACCAATGCACTTTCTGAGTCTTGTTACATATGAGCTCTACGTTCAGAGCTGAGTTCTGACACTCAAAACCTAATGTATTAAAAAAAAATCCTTAAGAACAGTCAAATAAGAAAAGAGCAATACAAACAAATCAATGACAAGAAAACATCTTTCAAGACTACTGATCAATTGTATTGAATGTAATACAGAGAAAGGCAAAGGGGTTTGTTTAAATGCTTTTGGCCACTGAAGATGCAAACACCGGCCAAACAGGATCTTAGAAGCGTTTCCAGGTCTATGAATAACACCAGGGGACACTGAAGCAAACACAGCATATGTTCGCAAACAAAGCAAGGCCATTTAGTCCAGTTTTGATATTTACCTCAAACAAAACTCATATATCACGTGGTTGAAAGACCAGGGGCACAGTGTTTAAAACCAGTCATTAAGCCAGTTAAACTTGCATTTCGATCACATCAGAACATTTGGAAATGAGTGGCATGATCTAATTCCTGTTTCAGACCATGACTGCTAGGGAAACGTGTCACTGGACGAGGCCTCCTGGAGCCATCGCGAGTCTGGACATGGCGAGATGGCAGTGCTGCAGATCCATCGCCTGTACATTCAATGCAAGAACATAGTTTTGTCCGTTTAGAGCCCCTGGCTATTAAAACACACTGTCGTCATTGTAAGCTAAGTCATGGCTGCCAATCAGAAGAAGTACTCTTTCTGATTTTCACTGACTGCATTTTGTCTATCAAGCTGGCTTTTCAAAACAGCCTCGGCACCGTCTACATTCTCTGACCTTTTCGCCTCATTTCTTTTGTATAACCTTTTCTGCTGATAAATGCGAACAGCTATGGCAGTGATACACAGCAAGATAAAGATCACAACAGCTATCAAACCTGGCGAGAGAAGAGAAAAGAAACCCAAAATCAGAAGGTTCGCCTGAACAGCGATGGTGTTGACTTCATTGTTTCATAAGTCCTCATAAAATCATTTTCAGCTTAAATCAAAATTGGAAATATCAAAATTTCAGGTATTTCTGGATCAAGTGGCATCATGATATATTGAGTTTACTTCTGAGTTCTATTACCCTTGAGGATGACTCGCCCCCAATTATTCTGGCTGTATATTACACTGAATTTATTTCTTGCATTTATATTTAACACAAGAAGGTCTCTAAGACCATGTAGTCACTTCAAACTAAGACTCAGACGAGTTATAATTATTTTGAAATTACAGGATAGTAGTAACATCGCAAAATAATTAAATGTGTCATCATACTTAAATATGTAAACATTTTAATGATGTTGATTTTCAATAATTTGTCATATGCTGAGTAGCAGAAACAGGTTATATACAGTATATGAATAATCCTGACTGATGAAATATATTGATACCCATATATAGGTACATTTAGATCATTTCTATATGAAGAATATTGATTTTTTTGAAACTTCTGGTTGTAAATAAAAAAGGCTTGCACTGCTAAGCAATCACAGGAAAACAAACAAAAGAAAAAAACAGATCCATTCAAGAGTGTCTCTGACAAAACACTAAAAATTACTCATTTCATTAAATCTGGACCTTCGGTTATAACTCTTTTTAACATTTTGGGTGAAGAAATGAAAATTTTCCATAAAGTACCTCTGGTCGTCTACCCTGAAGTATGACGGTTGTTTCCATGCAAGTGCTTGTGTGAATGTGTGAGCTGTGAGCTGTCCTAGTTGCTTCTTGCTGCACAGAACACCGTTTCTATTGAAAGAATGACTGTCAGACAAACTATGATTGTTTGACCTGGAAACTTGGCAGATATTTTCTCTAAAATGAAGGAAGTTCCATTTTAGAATGTCCCTTCAAGAATGATGGACAGTAAACACGAGTGGGCAAAAGGAAGTTTACAGTTATGAGTACACGAAAGTTTATTCTTAAATTATTATGTTTGTATTTTTCCATATGAACAACTGTCAACCTACTTTTGCCCACCCCTGTGTATACTGTCAACGATAAAGTCAAGCTTTCACATGAAAGATAGAATCTGGGAAGCTATTGTCTGTCACCATGCGTTGGAGAGTTTCCTAACACTTAGACTTTTCTGATGAGATCCGTAGAGTTGTTAACTAGTGGTTGTTTTTTACAGACAAAAATAGATACAATGAAAACAGCAATGTGGATCCTATTGTAAAACTATGAGTCTTCATTCTAGTTTAATGGAGTCCAACCAAGCCAAACCTATGAAGGGTCCCATCAGTGACAGTAGATTCCTGAGCACATGATTTTAGGGGCAGGTTCACGATAGCTAATCATATCATTGCCAGTGGCTAAGTGGATTTTCGTTTGGGTCAACCTTACGTGAGGAGAGCATTGTAGCTAAATCTAATATAAATGTGGTAACCAAATTCTGTACCTCAAATCTGAAGAATTTACTAATGGGTATGGCTGTTTTTGTTATTATTAGCCGTACTAATAAATAATAATTTTAATTGGAATATATATTTGTTGTTATATTTTGCCTCTCACCTTACAAAAGCAACCAGTTGAATTGCTATAAATATCTCTGTCATCTGGTTATAGGCCTCTTGCTTAAAAAAGTGGTCTGAACCATGTCAACATGAAAACTGATGGAGATGTTATAGACAGCAGGGTATTGCAACTATAAAATCAACATCAGTATTACACTGGCCCGGGGAGGACATCCAGACAGTCCATCCAAAATTACCAATGGATCTGGAACCAGTTTCTCCGTGTTTGTGATTTATGTCCTTTATTTTGGGGAAGATGCTATGCCAGGATTTGTCACGTCCAAGAAAAACCTTGATTTAACCTGTTATACAAATAATACAAAAGATATTCTAAATAAAATATGGCCAACTACTGCACTCTCTGCTGTTGCCATCTGAAACTCTGTGTGAATGCGTTTTTATGAGGAAATTCTGTAGCTTTCTCTCTGTCTAAACCTGGCCATCCATGCTTGTGTGGCCTGGCCAGAAACCCTCTCCAGTAAATCCTCTAAAACTGGGTCACCAGTTTTTAAGTGTCTTGTTAAATCAATTTCCTATATTATGTTATTCAGTGTTTGTAACTGAAGAAAAGATCATCTGAAATATAGAACACTGGGGGATTATCCACTTGGGGAAAATCCTTAAATGAACTAATAATTGTTACACTGTGGGTGCAGTTTATAAGTAACTAGACAATGGGGCGAAGAATTCTACCATGATGCTCCCCGATGGAGAAATGCACGAGGATGACATTCTGGGATTGAGCAGATAAACTGCACATGGTTCCAGGCAAGGCCTTGTAGAATGGCCAGCTGTTCTGCCAATAGGTTCTCAGTCCCTGCAATGATCAAGGGCAGACACCAGATCCGTAGATCTTAGCGAGTCCCCGAGCTGAAAACCTTCCATATTGTCCTTCTCCACTCTACGCATTTGAATCAAGTAAGAATTTCACAGGCGATCTATAACTTGTTTCCATTCTAAATAACACAGAATGACTTAGCAGAGCTCTCCTTTACTCTGCAAATCTGGCCAGTGATCTTTGACCACAACAACAGTATTCTAAAGAGTAAATACTTAGTTCTAACATTGACTTGGCTGTACAGTCACTCTCTCTCCCCCTGTGTCTCTATCTCTCTATATCTATACTGGTTAAATGTACAGCAAGCACCATTATGAGATTGAGACCATTTGTTTGACTAGAAACCCTGCTTTAAAATGTTGAGATTGAAATGCTATAGCTTTAAATGAGTTTTCACCATATAATGTGTTACTAATATATTCATGTATTTCTTTTTAGACATGCAGTTATTAGCAACTCTTCTAATAGGTTTTTTCTTCTTACATGACTAATTGGGTATCCTATTTAGGTATCTTTAATTTATACACCATGAATTTGATAAAAAGAAAAGCAATGGGAATAGCAATGAGGATGTGAATATCCTCACAAAGATCTGACCAGTATTATACTGCCTAAATAAAATCCTCATTACTTAAAGGAAGGTGATGTCTAGGTGAGTAAGGGCGTAAAAATATAAAACCGAAGCTCACATAAGTTTCCCAGGTATATGAGTAATCACATTATCTGGCAATGTAATGAAATAAATGTTTACTCATATGTGCAGAGTGTGGAAAAAAGGTGAGTCAGAAACATTTCAATAATCTGATTATAATGCCATTCTTAAAATCTTTAATCTTGAAGAAAAAAGTTGGGGGGTTGGTATCGAAAAAAATTATGTCTCAGAGAATATACCGTTTCATTGCTAGGAAGATATACTCAAACCTTTTTGTTAATTCTGCAATTTAAAAACGGTTCCTAGTTAAAATAACTAGGAACCATTTTAATTCAATTTACCTAAAATGTATACAAATGTAAATAAAAATATAATATTTATTGGTGGTAGCATCTAAACAATGGAAATGTCTGTTTTATTAATCATTAAAGGCAACATAAAATATATGCTTCTAATGTTAATCTCAGGTTTTCTCAACTCTACATAAACCCTTGCAGAAGCAGTGATATGTCCAAGAAGCCATCAAAAATGATACTTCTTAAAATATACGCAGAATCACCTAGGGAATGTAGATGGCCATTTTCCAGCTAAATTATATTCCTTATTACAGTTTCGCAACTATTGTTTAAGTGTGGTGCTTCAGTAAAATGATCAATTATTTACGCTGAAAATCTCCAAGGAAGCTGGGAATTTGGGAATACTCCTCCATAAGACAATCCAGTAGGAATAATAAACCAATCCCATGGGCCTCAGGATTCAGTGGCTAACACTGAAAGAGTTGCTAGAAGGCTAGAGATCCACCATTCCTAGCGATGATAAGAACCAAAGAAGAGCTCATTCATGCTTTCTATTACCTCCAATTACAGCAGAGTCACTTTTGATAGCATTAGCTAGGGGCTCTCTGTCATCTCTTGTTCCAGAATGATCTGCAGTAAAAGGACAAAAGGGGAAAAAAAGGAGGGGGTGATATATGCAAGTAAAAAGAATTTTGAAAATGTCATAAACGTTTTAAAGCAGAACAGAATGTAGGTCAATGTGGGATCTCTGTTATTTTAAACTTAAGAAATGTCAACGGCGATGTCCCGCATGCATAGGAAAGTGAGGATCCAGAGAGAAATGGGAAAGGGAACTGAAAGTTAAACGAAAGCAATTTTAAGAAACCATCTGGAGAATGTCGCATAACAGCAGCATCGGAAGTTTTTGAGGCAATGGACAAGCTGTGTTTGTGGCTGGGTAACGACACACACATATGCTACCTGCAAAGGAGTGCGTCCTTTCTCTGGATGTGGCGTCAGTGCCAGCCTGGGCCACGCAGCTGGACTCCGTCACGTGCCCTGAGACAGTGACGAGGGCGGAGCGGCTGGGGTGCAGAGCAGCCTTCAGAGGGGCCACGTGGCTGAGCTGCACCGCAGACAGGCAGCCCAGGAAGCCCTGCGCACCAGCCAGCGCCGTCTCCTGGTCAACATCACTGTGCTCTGCAAAGACAAGGAAACAGCAGGATTAGTAGTGCAAGTAGGGAATGCTACGATGGAATGTTTCGGGTCTGATAATGCAGCAGCTGTCTAAGTATTTAGTCACTGCACATGTACACACACACACACACACACACACACACACACACACACACACACACACAGTGACTCAATTCCCTTTTTTGGCCTTTATTTAAAAAGTCAGATCCATTAAGTCTTTTCACAATAACTGCTGAGCCTTTCCAGGTTAATGAAGGCAAGATTTTAAACATGGCTAATTACATATGACAAACTCCCAGGAAATGATTAAAGCCTCCATAAGAATGGGTTGGGATACGAACAGGTGAGGGTTCATGATGACGGTCTCACATACTAGAGGTTAACCCCCAACTTCCCTCTCCCTCCGCCCGCAATTTTTAGAGAGATTCCCTAATTGCTCATGGACAGCAGTGAGAACGTTCATGCCTTTCTTCAGATTCAATGGCTGCCATCACTCAGACAGAAAGATCTGTGCGCCCCTGAAGACAGGTATACACTCCCCCAACTGAATGAGCATTGAGTCAATATGGGACTGTTGTGGAGCAGAGATTGGCTTGAATGCCAGAATATTAATTCATAATTTTACAGTGAAGAATAGATTTCTATTTTATGCTTGAAGAGCATGCATCTAAACAAGTGCAGCTAGGCAGTGTTAGAGTTCAAAGGTTATCAGACTGCAGTGGATCCATCCATCCAATACGCTCTCCCCTGCCCTGCACATATGGAGACATGGACCACATGTGCATTTTGGTCACTCTTTTTAAAAAATAACATAATAGATACTAAATATTTATTGAGTGCTCTAAGGGATCTGCATGTTTGTGTGTGACCCTTGCAGTTGCCATGAGTATCTCATTCCAGTCATAGAGGGGAGACACTTAGGCTCAGAATTTTAGGGAGTTGCCTGAGATGACACAGTTGGTGTCATGTACTGGACTCCAGGCCTGTTAGACTTCCAACCACAGGCTTCTTTTATTCATGAACCACTTTCTGACAGACAGATTCTTTCCTTGGCTCTGCTCGTATCCTCTGCAGCACCTTTTATTTATTTTGTTATTATTATTTTTGGCTTGAGAGCAGCTATTCTTGGAGTAACTCTGGGCAACTCAGTTCTGACTGAACTGTCTCATCCTATCAGGTTTCTGAAGGACACTTCCTTCTCCTCCCTTTTCATTCACATTTTATACCGAATGATAAAAATACTGACGGGGTGTTTAGTATCGTGAGCATCATTCGCGATAAAAAGGAAACGGTGCATTAGAGGGATGGCATCGCGTTCCTGCTGTGGCCGATACGGCATTCAGCTCCAGTCCGTCTAACTCCAGAGGCCAGGGCCTCACCGCCAGGCCGCCTGCCCCCCAGCACTGAGAGGGATCACTGCTGCTCACATGCTAGACCGCGAGCTCCACGAGGGTACAGGGGACCTTGGCGCCCAGCATCACGTCGGAACATGGGAGGCACTGCATCAATGTGTACAGACCAAAGAACGAACTTAGTCCCACCACATAGTAGTCATTCATTTGAATGGATATACACTCAAACGCGTATATTTTTAGAAAGACAGCATTCTTGCCTTGGATTTTTTTGTTTTGTTTTTTGTTTGTTTGTTTTATTTAACAAGAAATGAAAAGGAAATACTTTAATACAACATAACCAGAACAGTGTTTTTCCCATTTCTCTTATGCGGTTAAAATCTTGAATAAAATTTCTTTAGACCATTAAAAAAATCTTACCTTTTGAACCAAAAAAGAAAAAAAAACTCAAGTAAATAGATAAGATTCATTCCTTAATAAAAGTCTGCCATGAGGTGACTTTTAAAAACCTTCAAATTAAAAACATTTCTCCTATTACAAATTTTTATATAAAAATTTTAAGCTATAAAAGTTAAAATGGAAAGTCAGACCATTAATATTTGTTGTTTAAGAGCTCCCTGCAATTCAAGCATCTTGCATTCCAGCAGGGGAGACAGAAAATAAACAGAGGGAAAGGAACTAATGAAAATTTTGAAGAGTGATAATGCCAGGAACAAATAAATTAGAAACCGTGATGGGATGTATCTGGAACAGAACTTTATCTTAATGAATGAGGTGATTCTTTTTGGTGTCTATTTAAGGATGCGTCTTTTCACAGACCTAGTCTCTTAGTAGTCTGTAGCTATTATTCCAGCAGCTTCTGGCTTTTTTACTTCCTTCTCCAAATTTGCAAGCTTCCCTGTGATTTAGGAATCTTTGTCAGATAGTTCCTAGGCCTGGACTGCCCTCATCTATTCTGGGCGCTTTAAATCTGTGGACACAAGGTTTTCTTTAGCGGAACATTTCAAAGATGGTGCGTCCAACTACTGTTTCACCTCGGCCCCTTTAACTGCATGGACGGCTGATTACTCACATTGAGTCTCCTCCACTACTCTCTAAGCTATTTTACTGTGCCTCCTGATTTCTATCGTTTAGGACTTATTTTTGTGGGGGTCAAGTGTTTCATTCACTTTATCTTCCAGGTGATAAAGTCAAGCATCAACAAAGACCATTCTTTCTTGCTGAGTTTTTCAGTCTGGAAAAATAAAAAATAAAGTTTTCATCCCTCAAGGTCTTTTTGTTGCTTTACTAGAATTTCCTTCAAGCTCTTACTACGTTTCATTCCGAATGCCATCTGTCTCCTGGAGTAGCTTTATGTTGATAGGGAATGATTCTGGTTGCTTTGGTTTTTCTCCCATGTTATAGCTGCTGAATCTTCGTAAGTAGAGGTTGTTTTTCTCATCTGCTTGTTGAATCAGTCACTGGCTTCCTTAGATGGCTGATGCCCAGAGAAAATAGACGGGGCAGCCATCCATGTCAGTGAAACTGTGGACAAAGCACCCACCCAACTCAGGAGAGAGAGGAACTGGCCCTCATTTCAGCTCACCCTCAGTAGGACTCAGGAAGCCCTCAAATTTCAGGTCATTCCCTTTTTTGGAAAAGAGGGGAAATGGGCACACTGATGTTTTCATGCTCACTTTCCCTCTAGGCAATCCAGAGATCTATGCCAGCCCAGATTTCCAAGTGGGAGGTGGGAATCCAAACAATGCAGGGTCTCTCCCCTGCGCCCCCAGACGCTTGTAGGCCGACCCCCAGACTCTCTTCCAACCAGTCCCACCACACTTTCTCACCAGAAACCTCCAGGGTCCCCACTGCCTGTGGGCTGGACCAACACCTCCTTGTTTTGGGAGAGTCAGTGGGTTGCAATTAGAATTAGGAGTGAAGGGGAACTACAGGGACTTTGCAGCCATCTTCCCAGAATTAAGTCCAAACGAAATGAACAGCTACATTCAGGTGCTCATAGCAGAGCTGGCCTTAGAAATACATAGCAACAGAGATCTGCACTGACCATGATGCTAATAAAACCAATGAGCAAAAATATACATCCTTCCGATAATCTGACTGCTTGACTTGCCAACACCACGTAAGGGTGAGAACAGGAAGGTGGGGGAATCGAAGACGGATGTCTCCTGCTTTACATAAACCCTGAAAGACCATCATGTTTGGCACGTTTCTGGTTATAAAAATACTCATGTGACTCAGACTTCTGGGTAGCTTTGCCTATCAGAAAGTTAGCCTCAATTGTATTTTCCAATAAAATGCTTTGTTGAAGAGGAAATCTTTTAACAAAAGATCTACTAGGAAAATAGAGGACCAAGGAATTAAAATTTGTATGAAGCAGCTTTTAATCACTGATTCTGGGAAGGATATGGAGTTGAGTGGAAGGACAATTAGAAGGAGTGACTCATACAATTTCTTGTGGTTCTCATAACAAAACAAAACAAAACAACCAACAAAAATCACAACCAAAAAAAAGATAAAACAAAACAAAAACAAATAAAAGTCAGAAAGCGAATCTAAGTAGTTTGATCTCAGAGCAGCAAAAGGATCTCACCATCTTTACTCCATAAAGGTACAGATAAGCAAGGCTTGCCTGAAAACTGCAGTGAATCAAAGGAGAAGCAGGGCTGAGACCCTGCAGACTTTTTTTTTTTTCTTTTTACCATTTTATGCAATTACAACAAGGATGCAACCACAACAACAAAAAAGAGTTAGTGGACAAGTACAATGGCAAGGCAGGCAGGAAAACCACGTGAGGGAAGCAGCCATGTTTCACAGAAGGTATTTACTTGCCAACCACACCTGCCGCCCTGAGCTCTAACCTTGAAAACCTGACTAATATGGAAGCCATTTATTTTGATATTTAGATGTCTTCTTTTGTGCTTTCAGTACAACCTGTCTCATCTTAAGTGGCTTAGGACAAGACCTGTGAAATAGTCTAATTAACTTTCTTATGGCTTCCCGTGGCTTTGAAGCAGGTTTTTCATGAAATATCTGAGACTGAAGTTTGTTCTTA